AGAGAGAGATAATTGATAGAAAACAGATAACATACATACCAGGGTAACATACAGTGTAGGTACTAAGGTGTGTGTGTGTGTGTGTGTGTGTGTGTATGTGTGTGTGTGTGTGTGTCAGGGGAGGTACGGGAGACTCTGGGGTGGGTTATCATAGTGGTTACTGTAGAGCACTAGCACACACACTCGTGTGTGTGCGTGTGCATGTGTGGTATTGTGGAGCACCAGCACACGTGTGTGATTGTGCATGTGCATGTGTGGTATTGTAGAGCTACACATGTGTGTGATTGTGCGTGTGGCATCATAGAGTAGCAGCACGTGTGTGTGTGTGTGTGTGCGTGCCTGCGTGTGGGTGCGGGTGTACCATAGAGCACAGGTGCACAGTGCTGCACAGGTGGAAGGTGACATAGAACACATGCACGTGGGTGCGTGCGCACACGCGTGCATGTGCGTGCATGTGCGTGTACCGCAGAGCACAGCATGCTCGCCTTGATGCTGCAGGTGGAAGGTGACATAGGCCAGGTGCACGTGTGTGTGCGTGTGCGTGCATGTGCGTGCCCGCGCGTGTACCGCAGAGCACCAGCATGCTCGCCTTGATGCTGCAGGTGGAAGGTGACATAGGCCAGGTGCACGTGTGTGTGCGCGTGTGCGTGCGTGTGCGTGCCCGCGCATGTACCTCAGAGCGCCAGCATGCTCGTCTTGACGCCGCCCTTGATGTTGCTCAGGTGGAAGGTGGAGTAGTAGCGGTAGTCCGTCTCCAGGATGAAGACCTTGCTCTCCCCCTCATCTGGGAGGACACCGCTCGGAGCCGCTGCCGCTGCCCCTCCCTCCCTCCGCCCCACCGCTGCCCTTCCTCCTGGGTCTGGTGGCCAGGGTCCCCATGCCGGGCTGCGAGGCAGTGGGCGGGCGGGAGAAGGTGTGCCCACTCACAGTCAACGGTGAACACGCCGTCGTGGTCTGTTCTCTGCAGCAGCATCGTTATCCGTTCGCATACCCCCAGCAACCTGTGGGGAGGCTCGGTGGGCCCCCCGCCCCCTGCAACCACCCCAGAGACCCTCGCCTCTGCTTCTCCCATGGCCCTGGGTCTGTCTCTGTTTTACTGGGGTCGCTGCTGCCCGGAGCTGCCTCCGGGTCACCTGACCCATGCCCAGGCTACGCACCAAGCTGCTGGCATTCCCCTGCACACGCAGCCTACCCCGTGCTCCAGGTGGCCAGGCCAGCTTACCTGAAGTGGACATTTAACTGCAGGCTTCCGTTTTGCAAGCTCTCCAGACTCTGCACGCAGAACCGTGAGTCCCCATTTGGCTGGATGCGACTCAGGGTATTGGAGGCCATGGAGATGGAGTTCCAGTACCCCTCAAGCTGGGGACAAGGGTACACCAGTGGCCCAGGCCGGCTCCAGCCCAGCCCCTTGGCCCCTTGGCCCCTCTGACCCCTGGGTGTAAGTCCACCGGTGCAGACTCACCTTTGACAAGCTGTAATTTCTGTACACGACCTCATGAGGGTCGAAGTCTTGAAGGGCAGGAGCCGGATGCAGCGCCAGGCTCAGCAGGACGGGCAGCAGGACCATCCTGGGCGGGCGGTGCCTGGCCCTCAGCCCTCATCTTTATCCCCTTCCTGCTGCCCCCCCTCTCCAGGAGCCCAGTCAAGATCGCTGGCTGCCACGGTTGGCCTTGGGGTCCAGCTGCACTGCAGAGGTGTCCACTGCAGGTGAGCAGGTGGGCAGCCAGGTCCAGAGATCCCACAGGGCACTGGGCACTGCGTGGTCTGGCTCCATGAGAGGACACCCCCTTGCATCCACCTCAGCATTGCCCTGGCTGGAGCTGGGGGACCCCTGTAAGAGCTGCTGGTGTGTGGGGTGGTGGTGAGGGGGCCTCAGGAGGAGCAGGAAGGAAGAGGAGGGCAGTGGGAGGGCCCTGGCTGTGAGCCCGGCAGAGGGGCGGACACGGAGACCTGGGTGCAGGCCGTCTGTGATGCCAAGGTGGGCAATTGGGTCAGGCAGCTTCCTCTAGGTGGGGGTGGGGAGACAGAGTGGGCTGGGGCAGGAAGGCACTGGGGGCGGGTGCACCGCTGGTATCTGAGCATCCTGTCCCCCTGTCCTTGACCCACCCTTCCCAGCCCCTCAGTCACCCTCCTCCTCGACCTGCCTGGGAGTCACAGGGGGAGTAGTGATTCCAGAAGTGTAGGGGGAAGACGGGGAGAGAAAGGGAGAAAGGGGGAACGGATTGCAATGGTCCACACATAACCACACACCCCTCTACAGGGGGAGGAACAACAGAAAACATGGGGGAAGGGAGACAGCGGTTGGAGACGAAATAGTAACAATGTACAATCTATCCTGGGTGGGTGGGTGTTATGAGGGTGGGGGTGGGGAAGAGCTGATACCAAGGGCTCAATTGAAAGTAACTGTCTAGAAAAGAATGAGGGCAACAGGTGTACAAACATGCCAGATTCAATCGATGTATGGATTGTGATAAGAGTTGTACGAGTCCCCAATAAAATGATTAAAACAAAACAAAACAAAAAGCCCACACCTTGTGGAAGGCGTGGTGTGGGCCTCCACTGACCAGCAGGTGGCAGAGCGGGAGCAGTTTGGCTGCAGATAGTCCGGTCCGCACCCCCAGCCCTCCACCCCGCACCTGGGCTGCAGGCATGGGACCGGGCACCCACAGGATGCCCTGGGCCTGCTCGCTCACCTGACCTCCCCAGAGGAGATCAGACCATGCCCACTCCCAGGGGCTGCAGGACTTTAATTTGTGAAACGTGGCATAGTGGGCGGAGACCCTTCTCTGAGCTGCAGAGGGGGCAGGGCTCATGGGGGAGTGCTGGCTCTCCCCAGAGGTCTGGCCTGGATGGAGTGGAGGAGGGGTGCACAGGGCTTATGGTGGGCAGGGGCTGGCTCTGCCCAGGGGGCGGGGGCTCTCAGCAAGTGGCTTGGGCATTTCTGGGCCCTGTGCCAGTCACGTGTCTACCCACAATGCAGCCTCAGCCCTGGCAGAGACAGGTAGGTCCTGGTGGACCATGGCATGCAAGGGAAAGCGGGGGACAGACAACCCAACCAGCACAGGACAGAGGACCCCAGGGACTCCAGGCCGCCCCTCGTCCCAGGCCAGGGCACCTCTGGGTTTGGGTTAGGCGTTTAAGGGTCTACAAATGAGAGCTTCTTGCTGTAGAAAGGGCAGGGCTTCTGGAGGCCTGGGGGGTGGGGGTGGGGGTGGCTTGGTCAGCAGACTGGCAGGGTCTCCCAGGGCAGGTCCTGGCTACTGTCCCTACTCTGGCAGCACCACGAAGCCCTTTCTTTTCTTGCTGGGGGGGCTGTCTCTCCCAGACAGACAGATCCCTGCCGGGTCCCCTGCCCTCCCCGCGCCCTGAATGTGAGAGGCTCTGAGACCGTGACCTGGATCCTGTGTGGAGCTAGCCATGCTGTGGGACCTGCTGTCCATCGTACGGATGTCTCAGGGACATTGGATGACATGGAATCACGCTGGACCCTGGAGTGGGCCTGGGGGACGCTGGGTGGTCACTGGGGTGACCTTGGGTACTGTCTGAGTATGGCGGCCAGCCTCGGTGTCATGTGCTTTCCAGAGAGATTGTATCTAACTGCTCAGTCCAGCTCCCCCTGTCCAGGGCTGCGACTGGCCCTGTCCAGGCAAGCAGCGCCACACGCGCAGGGGTGTTGGCCTGAGATGCTGCTGCTCCCACGCATCTTCTCTTGTCACCCAGCCCCTCTGTCTCTGGGCCCCACGTGGGGGCCCTGGCGGGTGGAGAGCAGAGGAGGGGCGGTTGTCGGGTGGTGCCCACCGACCCACAGTGTCACCGTCTTAGTCTCTGTGATGTCCCAGGACACCCCTGCCCAGGGACTGCACCTCAGTCCTGTGCTCCTGTTGACGTGCTGCTCCTGCTGACAGCAGCCAGACACACACGCACAGGCACACGCACACCCATGCAACACACACATCCATGCACACTCACACACATGCATCACGTGCTCACACGCCTGCAGCATCCACAGCCACACTCACACACACACTCCTGCTTTTCTTCACAGTCGACCCCTCCAGTCCGAGAGCCCCAAGTGCCTGTGGGAAGGGTCTGAGGGCAGGCAGGGCGGCAGGCAATATGCCGCGTGGACTCCGAGATCAGGCGGCGCCGAGGGACAGAGGCACCCGGTTCTCCTCCCCCAGAATCTCTTCAAGCACGTCCGACACAAACACTGGCCCTGGGAACACACGTGGGCACGCACCCCTGGTGGGCACACACATGGGGGCCGTGTGGAGCCCTGGGGCCGGGCCCAGCTCAGCCGGATGGAAGCCCGAGTCCCTGAGGCTGACGAGGCCACCGGGCCTCAGAGGGTTTGCTGGGAGGGCTTTCTGTGTTTGGACAGGAGGCTCCGGAACGTTCCCGGGGCCTGTCTGTTCCCAGACCCGTCCTGCTGGTGCTCTGGGGACCATGTCTGAGTTTAGGCTTCACAACTGAACCCGATCCCTGGAGAAGCTAAGCCTTGGGGTGGGGGGACCCCAGGAATATCCTGGCTGAACAAATGTCCCCACACACTCTGTCGTAGTCCCCATTTCTACTCAGAGTCATCCCGGGGATGCAGACTGCGCACCCCACGCTGTGAGGGGGTCAGTGCAGTGAGTGTCTCTCAGGAAGAGAGGCCAGGCCGACTCTGGGTTTTACTGCCACAGTTCACATACCCTCGCACTTCAGGGCCTTAAATTTATTAAACACAGGTGCACTACTCCCACCACAATACTTTTCAGGTAGTGTCTTGTGATGCGCGCCCCCC